ACATAATACCACAGATATAGTATAATTTGGCTCCGATCCACAGACTATGCAAGCGACAATGTCGACTGGACATTGAACCTTTATTAATAGTAAGTCACGCTACTTCATTAACACCTATGCGTTTTTTATTCTCGTTTTTTTTTGTTACGTGAAATTATAACTGTACATACTTTGAAAAGAGCATAATTAACTTCAAAACGTTACTTTCGTAACTAGGTTATTGGCTGCCGCGCCGAAACAATGTGTCAGTTTCGTTCGCTGAATGATTATCTAGACGTCATGGATATAACAGTTATAAAGACCAGGTACAAAGTATCAATTGTACGTCTAAATCATAGAAATGTTTTAATATCGCATGTTTTTAGCTGTTTATTTTTGCGGTTTATTTATCTGAACGATTTAGATATAACACTGTTTTATTGACACGCTGATAGACTGGCGATTGGCTTTAATTTTAAAGGAAATCATCGGCTACTTTATCAATAATTTAAATAAAATGCTATCAGCAATATATCTAGCCATGAATATATCAACACAATATTCGTTAGGTTCAGAAAATTATATTAAATCAGCGAAGATGTTAATTCGATGATCGTTTTGATTTAACACTGATCCATAATACTTTTTGTTTTTTTTATTAGTCCAGTTAGTTGCGTATATAACAATCCAAGAAGTATTGCATATAACAAACTGAATTATTAATGTCGCGTTGAAAAAACAATTAAATTTGAAACGATAAAAAATTGTTGTTATTTTATTAATTTATCATCCAGATGTCTGGTCAATGACCGGTCAGAGAATATGTTCATTATTTTGTTTAGGTACTCGATTTAACAACCCCTAAACAACCCTAAACAAAATTAAACGGCCCTTTAATTAAATGAGGCTAAATTTATGAATTTTACAATAATTGTTGACAATCCATTAGATTTATGAGAGATTTGAAATTTGTAGGACAACGCTGATGTATGGAAAGATTTTTTAAATTTTATTAATTAATTCCAAAATGTGAAAAAATGGGTAGTAAATTTTTTTGAGTTGTTCTGTGTTAAATTACCTATTTTTCAATCTAAATTGAGGGTTACATTACACAGGATTGGTTCGAACAAATTGGTTAAGGACACCATATGACAGACCTCAACATTTCTTGTAAAAGAATTATCTTTGACTCTCAAACATCAGTTTCCGTGCTCGAAATTGAAAAATTGTCTCCGTCCATTCAGAACGAGGTCGACGTCCTTGACGTCGCGCCACTATATTCAACCAATAGCGGAATGCTGCGCTCGTCCAGCAACCAATCACGCCGCGCCGCGCCCACCAACCGTTCAATAAACTACTTCGGTCAACATTGATTTATCTTCGTTGACCCACACCACGACATCACGCAACGAACCCGCGCGCGCATTTTAACATAATAAAACAGACTTTCAATCTGTTGCTTCTTGTTTCTTTTAGGCCAATTGAAATTTGTATTGTAATAAATTCTGAACTTCCTACAATTAATATTATTAATTTATTTATGTGTTGGATCTAAGGGATTTGATGTAGCGGACGTTTGAATAGAAAATACAATCTACAGGGACATAAAATATTCGAAGTCAGTTTTTGAATTAATTATTTGTTGAAGTGATTCCGTAATGTCTCTATGAAATTGCATATGGTAGTGAAATTCTGTTAGGATTTTAAGTATATAATTACAACTACCCTCGTAGTTTAATACTGCCATTTATCATTTTCGTTTTATTATTTCCGGCGTACTAGACATGCTTTGAGGGATTGTTCGAGATGAATCACAGACTTTTTAAAATCGCTCGCCACTGTAGCACAGTTCAATACTATCTAGAACCATTGCATTTACCTATAGTGAGTCTTTAAAGGATCTTTTTGGCTACTTATCGTGCGCTTTAGAACGATGTCCACGCCAAGCTGTTTAATAGAGCGCTATGACATGTCCTTCAAGCACATTTGGACGAGAGTCCTTAGCAGTAGGCGACAGCTTGTGTGCCCCTGGCATTTCTAATGTCTATGAGCGACTAGATATGTGGACGAGCTCACAGCCCACCTGGTGTCAAGTGGTTACTGGAACCCATAGACATCTACAACGTAAATGCGCCACCCACCCTGAAACGAGTTCTAAGTCTCAGTTTTTATAGTTATTATAACGGCTGCCCCGCCCTTTAAATCGAAACGCATTACTGCTTCACGAAAGAAATAGGCTAAGAGGTACCTACCCATGCGGGCTCACAAAATGCCCTTACACACAAAAAACCTAATTGTATTTTGAGGTTGGGCAAGGACTTGGTGTTTCGTATTCACACGATAAGAAGTCGCCATCGATCGTCCTATGAAACGAAATCAGTCATTGTTTCGCATTAAGGGCTTCTTTCAAACTGACACGTACGAATTCCACCAGTGTGATGAGCCCACGAAAATCTAACCCATTAATTACGTAAATGTATATTCATCAGGTTTGAGCCCCGTGAGCCACCTACTAGCCACGGTTACGCTGAAATAGCCCCTAAGGCTATCAGCTTAGGTAGGAAAAAAAATATGTATATATTTTACGAGTTCCATGCAGTGTAAAAGCTAATTTATAAATTACACGACCGAACATCTGATAATATACTATATGATATGATAATATATTATCAGATTTTCGGTCGCGTTATTTTTTTCTTATCGTCCGAGGATTCAACATTATACCTTTCTGTGTATCACCATCCCGTCCAATCATATATTTTGACGGTATCTACGAATACGCAGAATGGGTTTCTCTGCAAATAAGCTGAACGGGCGAAACCCAGCCCTCGGGAATGCGGACTGACAAGTCGCGAACAAAACTGCAAAAAACAACATTGCAGAATTTATCTTTGTGGTCGTCCTGACTTTACGTTTACCACGAAATAAGAGGCAAGACATTTACGGAGTAATATTATTATAAACGATTTTCAGAAATATTTTTTAATAATTTAATAGGTATGCTATTGGTGTTTTTATTGAATTTTGTAGCACAAGTAAGTTATTCTTTGCACAATTCTCATAATTGGCCGATCTTTGTGAATATTTTATCTTTCTTATCTATACATATAAATAAAATTGGAGTGTCTGTTTGTAATATTAAAATAACCGCTTTTTACACATGCATTTGAATATATATACGGTACATACACCAAAATATATTTTTTTACAATTTTTATATATCTGTCTGTTTGTTCCGGATAATCTCTGGAACGGCTGGACCGATTTTGACGAGGCTTTCACAGATAGGTAGCTGATGATATAAGGAGTAACTTAGGCTACTTTTTTTAGACTAGCTTCGCCCCGCGGCGTCACGGGACTCGGCTATCAATAACAAAATTTAATGTTTCCGAAGCGAAGCGAGGGTGGGTCGCTAGTCGATCATAAAACTGTTCATTCTACAGCACTACTTATTAATCTTACTGAAGTCTCTTTGAACAAATTTAAATTGCACTGTTTTTGCAAAGCACTAAAGCATGGAATGGAAATTGAGTTTATCAAGTTTATCCAATTTTTTGTATGCGTATTATCTTAATGTGGTAGATTGACAACGTGTAGTTAGTTACTATAGGTTTTTACCTTGAATTCATGCCTTTTATGACCTCTGTTACGCCTAAAGGACATATAATTTACCAATCGATTTGATGTGACAGAAACGCCGCGGTTTGTAGACAAACCAAAGTATAACTGTTTCTCAAAAACGCTCAAATTGAGATAAACGGGTCAAGTCATTATAACATTGTACTTTCTTCGGCTTTTGCGAGTTTTAAACATAATTAAAACTTATTTAAACCGTATTATCCCACGTTTTTTTATTGTCATTGTATTATTATAGTACAGTTGGCACAATAATAATAATAGTCGCCCGTGATCACGAAAACTGCTAGGTATTCAAAACGTCGGAAATAATATAAAAATGAATTTCTATTCGTTAGTCTCGCTAAAACTCGAGAACGGCTGGACCGATTTGGCTAATTTTGGTCTTGAATTATTTGTGTTTAAAAGGTGGATTAATATGAAAACGCTCGGAATTAAATAAAAATAACAATTTTGTTTTTGCTTAGATGTGTCCCCCGTCGGCGGGATTCCTTTTGTTTGTTTTAAGTTTATTTTATACAAAAGTTTAGGTCTTTTATTTATCGATTGAGGCTCTACGAAGTCTGCCGGGTCAGCTAGTACGGAAATAATAATGTATAATGGCAATAAAAAACCGAATGTTTAAACCGTAATAGTAGTTTTAAAAAGAAAGAAAAATCTTTAAAGTACCGATATTGTAAGTCCTCCAACCATTCCAACGACCATCCGGCTGTCAAATTTCTTTTGCATCTTAGCAGTTGTTAGCCTTAAGAATTCTCAAAATTGAATTCGTTTTAACAACAAAATATATGTAACATAAAGGCGAATATACTGCAAATTTAACGACCACCTGTTTTCAGCTAGTAAAAGGCTGTATAGCTATGAGTTCCCTAACTTTCAGAACAATTAATGTAAGAGTATAGACCACGTATAAACGCAACACTAGAAACCATAGACCTATATAGTACTAGAAACACTATTCTTGACAAATGCGTGACAAGGAAGTGTCAACTTTGTTTTGTCTTATTCCTTGAAATGAACCGAAATTTCCGGATAAAAAATTAGAGAATTAGGTACATGTAGTTTCTCAACACAATTTTGCCATTAACTATAACAGTAGCTAGATAGGTAAATACTACGGAAAATGCAATGGGAAGGAAGAAAATACAAGTTGATCTCCACTGATAACTTCGATAGCTTTATGAAAGCATTAGGTACCTAATTAATTATATTATTGTTTCACTTTTTTATGAAGTCTGAATATAATTTACTTCAGTTTAAGCCTGTACAGAGTAATTAGCACGAGATACTAATATTCCATAAGCAAAGCCTCAATTTTTTATACAAAAAGAAGTCTTTCATGATAAATTCACGCTTCACACTTTACGAAATGAATTAATTTCCAGGCGTGGGTCTGATCACCCGCAAAGCCGCCAACGCGGTCACCCCGACCGTGGAGCTTCGTAAGGATGGTGACGAATACAATTTAGTCACCTCTTCAACCTTCAAGACCACTGAGATGAAGTTCAAGCCCGGCGAAGAGTTCGAAGAGGACCGCGCTGACGGTGCTAAGGTTTGTACTCTGTGCATTGAAACATATCTAGTATCTGTGACGAACCACGAAAATTGATGTTCCAGTACCGCTTTTTTCCCGGCACGCAATATAACAAGCCGTACTCGCGGAGCAACGGCTTCATAGACTCGTTTTTTTTTAAGTGATTTTATGACTTGGTAACTAAGACCTTTAGGTCAAGTCTTATTTTAATTTTAATGAAAACTATTTTTATATGAAAAACGACATTACGAAATGAAATGAAGTTGATTAATATGAAACATAGCATAAAGTGATATGACTTGAAAACGAAATGAAATGAAATGAGATGATATGGGATGAAATATAATCTCAGTAAAATGGTGGTCATTTACTGAAACTTTTTCAGTGGACTTTTTGGAGGATCCCGAGAAGTTACGTTCAGCGGCTTTGTTTATTTTCCCACATTTGTGCACTTTCACAGATACTAAACAGTTAATAAACCACCGTTATTAGACATTTAAATCGGACAAAACACTAAACAGACAACAACAAATCACACAACTTCACTCCTCGCGTTCCCGCCAAAAAGTCCAATAAGACTCGTAGGAATGCGTTCACAGATTACCTACTTATTAGATTACGGGTCCAGGAAATCTCTATCCACGGAAACGTGTAGAATTTTAAAATGGTTCTAATTAATGTTTTCCGTTTCTCTGGTATTCGATAACAAGTCTTCCCCTAATAAATATTTGAAAGTTCACTATCAAAGTGCACTCTCTGCACTCTGCACGTGCAAGTGCACTCTTTGGCACTCTATTCACGCGTCGTTGGAATAATTTTGACGTGGTTAATGTTGGATTTTGATCAGTAACAAGCCCGTCGTAGAAATTATCAGGGAAATAGATAACGGTCGTTTCGATCTATCTGCTGATAAGAATTTTTTTCTTCGAATTATTTAATCTTTATGTGTTCGCGATTGAGTTCCAGGGAGAATGATGAAAGGGTATTGTTTGTTACGTCAGAACTAGCAAAACATTTTTTATTAGGTAAAATGGGATATTTCGGTCGTCTAAAATGACGTATTATGACATCGTTCCAAAATTCATTATAGCGTTTTAGTGAAATGAAGGCGAATGAATTTCCAACCTTAAACTTAAACTTAATTCTAAAGTGAATTAAGTAAACAAATGGTAGACTTTATTTTTATTGTGTTTCAGGTGAAATCCGTATGCACATTCGAAGGCAACACCCTCAAGCAAGTCCAGAAGGCCCCCGACGGTCTTGAAGTCACTTACGTCAGGGAATTCGGCCCTGAGGAGATGAAAGCTGTGAGTCTAAGTTATAAGACGCACGAGTTCAAGGTTCAGTGCTAAATGGGGTCCATAGTCGTTTTGAAGTCGTCATGGCCGAAAGGATAAGACGTCCGACGCATTCGTGTTCGAATCCCGCAGGCGGGTTCCAATTTTTCTAATGAAATACGTACTCAACAAACGTTCACGATTGACTGCCACGGCGAAGGAATAACATCGTGTAATAAAAATCAAACCCGCAAAATTATAATTTGCGTAATTACTGGTGGTAGGACCTCTTGTGAGTCCGCGCGGATAGGTACCACCACCACCACCCTGCCTATTTCTGCCGTAAAGCAGTAATGCATTTCGGCTTGAAGGGCGGGGTAGCCGTTGTAACTATACTGAGACCGATTGTTTTGCTCAGTGGCTGTTCTGCCCTCCAAAGCGAAACGCGCCTTCATTAATAGCGGCTGAAATTTGCAGTACAGAGTGCATGGGAGGATAGCGAACTTGAGCTACAAACTATAAAAAAAGTTGAACCAAATCAGTGGTTATTAAAAAGCATATTATCTTGATTTGATTTAACTTCAACTTAAATGCTAACTCCGGTTTTCATCGTTAATAGTTACTTACTTTAGTTTTCTCTCAAAAAATTTACTCCCGATTTTTTCTTGATATTGTTGATCTTTTGTTAGACTTTGTTCAAATAAAACGAAACTCTATAGAAACGTCTCCCGTCAATTTATTAAAACTAGTAGTCTCCCGGTAGGTAGTCGAAATCCGACTATAATTAATTGAAATTATAAGTTCGTACACTATTATGATTCTATTGTCAAAGGCCATTAGGTATACTTCGACCAACATTTACTATTGTTGATCGTAGCTATTATACTTCTATAATCACAGATTTCGCCAAGACTACACTTTAGACAAATATTAATAAAGACAAACAATATTTAATTTATTTTCAATTTAACCACAGACAACAGATAAGCAATATGAAAATTTTTGACAATAAACAAATAGTATGCATTCGTGTGTGTGCCAAATACACGGTAGTGTGTGTGTTTTTTTGATTGATATATTTTTTACGCATAATTAAAAAAAATAACATTCTGCACTTCTTTTTTATATTCTCTATAAGTGTGGGAGATTTCATACTCCTCCGTCCGCGTAATTTTCGTAAAAAGAGGTACAAAGTTTTTGCTTCACGTATTAAGCTTAAGATTATGTCAAATTGAACAAGCTTTTCTTCTCCCAGGTGATGACAGCTAAGGACGTGACTTGCACCAGAGTCTACAAGGTCCAGTAAAAGGACTCTACTCCGAGATCGGGAGTCGGTGCCGCCGATTCACGAACATCCCGCGGCACAATTATGTTTATTTAGCATCTATTCTATACATTAGCCCTTTCTAGCTTTTTCGTAAAACTAATTTTAGTTTTTATATCAGTCATCGTCTGCCGTTCGAATTGCAAAAGCGAGTGGCGGTGACGAAACTAAAATAAGTTGAGCGACCACGGTAACAACAGCGGGGCGCTTGTGCGCGAAGCGTTTATTGTATTCAAAAATACGTTTATTGTTTATATTAAGCCAAAGTTAACGTTTTGATCTTCAGGAAGATCGCACTCGATGTTTTCCATTGCGTATTAAATAAATGTATTTTTTTTTGTATGTATAACAGTTTGTTTTATTACCGGGGCGGGGGCGAGTGGACAAATGATGCTTGTCTATTTTAATACGCTTTTATTAGCTTCAGAGAATCTTTGAACATGATTTTGACCCCCTTCAAAACGTCGGATTAACTCGAAATTTGGTATACTTATTAAGGACCGATGACAGTTCAATAATAATAGAAATTGAAAAAATTGAAATTCAATTAAAAAAAAAGAAAAATAAATAATAGTTTAAAAAAATACGCTTTTATAGAAAATCCAACTAAAAAAAAGAAAATTATTTTATTGAAATAAAGCGTGGGGTGCTTTTCAGTTATAACTATTGACACCATGCACCCCACGGTTTTTTTACAATAAAATCATTTTTTCTTACTATAAACGAATCCTCAGGGTGGCGGCGACAATTGAGACAATTTACATCCACACGAAATAATATATTCTCTTTAGTACACGTTACGGTGGGTAGAATACGAATGCAATCAGAGATATGCTAACCGTCGGTATTTATACAATCATCTTGACCTATTTTAATACAAACTGAGTAGGTAATATTAAACATTGTTCATCTTAATTATTCTGCTGATTATTTACGTACAATTATTATTTAATAATATCGAATTATGTAACAAATAACAAGGCTTATTGCGCCGGAAGCTGTCAAGCGGAAGGCGCCAATAAAATATTATAAGTATAAAGAAATATGAATGAACTAGTTCTATATATTTCCTAAGTTCATAAATAATTTATTATGTGAGGCCGGAAGTGTTGCTCGATAACATTACACTATTTTTAATTCAAATTAATTAAAATTTATTTTCTATATTTTAGTTGGATTTTCTATAAATGCGTATTTTGTTAGTTTTTTTAATTTCCGTAATTGAAATAAGGGAATAATTAGTGTGATTAAGATTTTTGTTGTATTTCTTCATAGTCTATTACAGGTACTGTCACACATGTTGTTCACACTGTTGTTTATAGATTAATCGTTAATAGACTGTTTCGATCTGAACTTTGGGTACTGATTAACAAAATATGATTCAGCTGTTTGGACACCGGATATCCGATCGCTTGTTGCCTAGCTGATATCCGGCGTTAACTGCTAGTTGAAGCGCGTCGTGACGTGTATACTTGACCGAGGTCGGAGAGGTTTCGTCCAGTCACGGTCCAGTGATAAACAACAGATGAGTTTTCGTTGCAATGTTTTTGGTTTGGTACAAGTATTTTTTTTTAGTGCTTAGGTGGGTGTACGAGCTCACAGCCCACCTGCTGTTAAGTGGTTACTGGAGCCCATGGGCATCTACGACGTAAATGCGCCACCCACCTTGAGATATCAGTTCTAAGGTCTCTGTATAGTTGCAACGGCTGCCCCGCTCTTCAAACCGAAACGCATTACTGCTTCACGGCAGAAATAGGCAGGGCGGTGGTACCTATCCGCGCGGACTCACAAGAGATCCTACCACCAGTACATAATTACGCAAATTATAATTTTGCGGGTTTGATTGAAGTTTGAAGTCAAAGTAAGATTTTCCCGGACTTTCCTACGAACCCCCTAATTGACGCATACCTTTTCACCGGATCGGAATCGTAAGCCACTAAGAAGATCCAGCCAGAAACTTAGTGGGCCGTGACAATGACACACGAAGATTAAAAGTCACAAAAAGAATGTCACACAATAAATACTGCAGTAATCACGAACTCTTGAACTTAATTATGGCTGTGTGCTTAGTGCGAGTTCAACGTTCTCGATAGCGTAAGAGTTAACCCAATTTTGTATGCAGTTGGAACAGCGCCCCTAACGGCAAACGTAGGCATTTTTTTTAAACCTAAGCTGATAGCCTTTGTAGGCTATTTCAGCGGAACCTTAACTAGTAGGTGAGCTCACGGGGCTCAAACCTGATGAAGTTGCTAATACAAAGTCTAGCAAGAGGCGTGCTTCGCAGAATCTACCACCGGATCGGAAACGCGACCCACTGAGAAGATCCGGCGAGAAACTCAGTGGGCTATGTCTGAGGGTTAATATACTCGTCGAGCTCTTCGTCGCAAGCGACGGGTTCGACAAGAACGGTGACCGGTGCTTGAAGTACCTAGAAGCCCCGTTAGTGGATCGGGAGGATTCGAGATGACGTGTTTGGGGCGATGTCGACTGCTTTCCATTCTTTGGTGATGTAAATTCTAAGCTTTTAATTAATAGAAGTTATATTTTGATATAGCGCCATCTATGTGTGAATGGAAGTAACATAAATTAGTAACATTTAATAGTGAAAAAACAGCTTTTAAGCATTGCAGTTAACAAAGAGTTCAGAAGATGGCGTTTATTTCAAGAAAAAAAATCTGTCAATAGTCTAAAATCGATTTATAAATATAAAATATAACATTTTTTTAGAGTAACTTTCTAAAGTTTGGGCTAAATACATATCTTACAGATAATCTTTTCATTTTTTAGTTTAAATACCTACGCCAACGCTAGACATTCAAGTGATAAATTAAAAGTCACATAAGTCATGTGTCAAAAAACATCCAATAAAATTAGGAATGTCGACGCCTAGTAGCAACCCCCTTCTAGCTCGAAGTTACACTTCAACTTATTCGGTTAATAATGTTGCAGGCGTTGTTCGATGTGTTTGCTGTAGCGGCGCGGCGTTCAGCAGAACTTCAGTTTGTCTCTTTCCGATTTACTAACGTAACGTTATTTAGGGTGTAAAAACATCGATATTCCAAGACAACTGTCAAAAATCTTTGGATGCTGTGATAATTGTGAGAATATTTCGTATTTTTTTCTCTAATATGTCCTAGATTGTGACAGTATATACACGTTAAAGTGCTAGAATTCATGATTTCTTTAAACTATGTGGATATAAAAAAAGGAATTTGTGATGTTTGTGTATAAATAAAGTGTTTCCAAAGGATTGACCACTTAATTCGGATTACGACTATACGAATGTAAGTAAACATTTTAGTTAGTATTAGATAAGTTAGTACCGGTTTCGTATTTGTAAAATGATTGTGTTTAACATTTTTTTCACAAATGTTTGGCGTACGTTAACACATATTTAATTAAAAGGGTAGTTGAAATAAATCTCTAAAAATTAAAGTTTCATTTTACTTTATCAGCAAAAGTACTGACCATAAATTAAATTTAAGTGAAAATAATTACTAGATATAATAAATCACGAGTAGCAGCTAATTAGACAAACCATATTATCTTAAATATTATGTTAGAAATATTTTTATTAATTAATTAAGTTACACTTTATTTCCCTTTCACTTTCTCTTATTTCTTTATTAGGAACAATTAAATATGTACTTAAACAGACATGTTTACACTATACATACTTGCACAATTAATTCCAGACCTTATTTAGTTATGAAATTGCTTAAAATATTTTTAATATAATCCAAAATAAATCTTATAGAAATGCTTCATATTCTACAAAGGAATAAAATCGAAGAAATATTAAAGTATGTATGCTAACTCTTCTCGTAATGTAATTTTTATTTAGTGTTATTTCTGTTTTTTATTTAAAACTTTAACAAAAAAATACTTATGGAATGAAATATTCCTTAGCTGTATATTAAACACTTCTCAAGCTGATTATTGTTATTTAGAACATCTACAATAACAAAAAAAGAGAAATTAAATATGTGATTGTAAAGTGAATATAAAGATTTAAAAGTGACAAGATAAGAAAGATAATGCCAAATCAGGCTCACTAATAAAATGAAATAAATGATAAATTTTATCATATTGACTGATAAAGAAACTGTGTTTAATGATACAATAGATACAGTCATTAAATTATAGGTTAATGAACTAAATGCACATTGTGGCCAGCAGTAAAATCACACAATTTCAATAATATTGGGATAAGTGACGATTAAATTGTTACAGTCAAGTTTCACTAGACTGAGAATAGAGTACAAACAATAATATTATAATTTTTTTTGGAGAAAGCATAATTATTGAAATTAATAATAAACATTAGCAGATCAGTCCAATAACAATAGATATTTTTTTTCATCCTGATGTTTATTCAATGTATGAAAACACAAATCAGGATAAAATTCATAAATAAAACAGATATCAACAAAATAAATGTATTTGTCAACATAGTATATGTCTGCAATTGCTATTGTAGAATTATTGCAATGGCTTTTGAAGGCAGATTGATTGTAATGACCACATGATGGGATGTATTCATGCTTGGTCATCATCTGCTACTCACATTTATTAAAAAAAAATAATTAATGATAAGGTCTGCTTTTGTGTAGATGCGAATAATATTTATTGTTCATTTTCAAGAATGATTACGTCCATAATATTAAAAACATGAATTTCTGTGTATTTTGCTGCATTACACATTAAATCTATGGAACAATTAAGTTTTATTTACCATAACATAAGTACATTAAAAGAATTAACCCTCACAGTCAATACAAATGTGAAAGCTCATTATAAAATATTATAATTTGTAATGTGAAAGTTTGAGTATATTTAAAGAAACAGTTATTAGTTGTAGTTTAGATTTCAATATTGTTTAAAATTCTTGTGCGAGTTTTTAGTCTTAAAAATGTTTTAGTTTGAATTTAATTACTGATATAAGCATAAAAAGAAAGAGGAGTATTAAAGAAAATTATAGATTAATTAGATTTTGAAGGTTTTAGATTTTGAATTAGATTTAGAGGTTTTGAAGGTCATTGTTATCTATACTTCTATACTTATAATAATAGTATAAAGAGGAAAGATTTGTTTGTTTGTTTGTATTGAATAGGCTCCGAAACTACTGAACCAATTTGAAAAATTCTTTCACTGTTTGAAAGTTACACTATTCCCGAGTGACATAGACTACAATCTTTTTTGAAAAAAATTAGGGATTCTTACTAAAACTCCAATATATGTAACCTACGGTGAAAAATTACCTAAAATATTCTTTACATCGCGTGCCCTGCGAAAACTATTGATGATAGAATAAAATAATGTACTACGACATTGTAGAACACATTATTATTTACAAAAAATGTCGCGACAGCATATGTCTAGCTATTATGGTTATGCCGCAACACCACGTAAAATATCGTTGAAGTTTTTGTTAAAGACCCGAGCGAAGCCGGAGCGCGCCGGTAGTATTATATATTAACATCATTTATTGAATATGAAAAAATAATGGATGCTGAGTTTTGAATGGGAATTGATGTGACTCCAAAAATTAGTCCTATTAAACAGAATGATTAGGATGCGATGGTGGTCTTGAGATGTCTAGAGGGCGAGAAGCTTCGTGGTTTTAATGGCAAGGGCGCGCCTCGAATCGATAGTACGCCCTGTCTGGGCCCGTCAGTACTGTAGGTCGTAACCCCTGTGAAATTGAAAATGCAATTTCGAAAAGGGCATATCTCTGAAAATGTAAAATGTTCAGGAAATGAAAAAAACCTGATTATTTTCCGAAGCAGCGTAAAATTTAAAATATTAACTTTTGAGATATATTTTAGTGTTGTGCATTAATGTAACGATCAGAAAAAAACATACTCTACATTTTTTAAGTCCAAAATCTTCACGACATTTGCAAATCATTTTAGAGCTCAATGCTATTTATTTATTACTAACTATTGTTTTAAATTTAAACGTGTTACGTTAAATTTTAACGGATTCAATTTTCTATTCAGAAAGAATTTAACATTTAACGCTGTTCCTAGGACTAAGTGATTTTGCGCCACCATTGAATAAGATTTTTAAGAACACTTACTTAGATTACTTTATACTTATAGTTACAGCGACTGCATTATGTCATGTCAATTTTTTGTGCGTCAAGCAGTTACCGGAGTCTAACATTTCAAAAGCCAATGAGCTACCGCCCAGCTTGAGATCAAAACTATACTGTCTGGTCTTACGATAGGAATTAGGGGAAGGTAAAATTGTCTGTATTAAAAAAAATATTAAAAAAAACCTCCCGGGAATAACTTTTTTTTGTTAATAATTTATGTAGGTATACCTAATTTTTACACAATATTTACAATGTCCATGTTGCGTGAGTCGCCATCTTTAATCGATGCCAGAATGATGCCAACCAAAAACGTTTATATTATAGTATTTATATTTTCATACATTTTACGATATGCGATCCCACTTCGTCACAGGTAGACAGTGCCGTGTATGGCTTACTTTAGTAGTAAAAATTTTGCGTAAAATAGTGTTTTTATTAAAAACCTGTTACATAGATACGACTTAATTATCAAATTAGTGTATTGTCATCGGTCCTCGATAAATCTACAAAGTTTGAATGAAATTTGGCCGTTTAAAGTGGGTCAAAATCGCGTCTAAAGGAGTCAGTTACAAACATACAAACAAACATACAAGTGAAGCTAATATAAAGCGTGTAAAAATACTACTAAGTAATATGGATATGAATGAGCTCGAAGTAGCCGGGTTGTATATTCTTATCTGATTATTATTATAATAGCTGATCATAGACTATCAAAAAACATCTGTCTCTTAAATAGGACAAGTAAATGAACCTTTTTTTATTGCTTAGATGAGTGAATCTTCGATTAAGTTTTTTTTTTTTTATTGCTTAGATGGGTGGACGAGCTCACAGCCCACCTGGTGCTAAGTGGTTACTGGAGCCCATAGACAATTACAACGCAAATGCGCCACCCACCTTCAGATATAAGTTCTAAGGCCTCAGTATAGTTACAACGGCTTCAACCCTTCAAACCGAAACGCATTACTGCTTCACGGCAGAAATAGGCGGGGTGGTGGTACCTACCCGTGCGGACTCACAAGAGATCCTACCACCAGTAAAAATTCTGATTATTATTCTTATCTGATTATTAATAGCCGCTCATAGACCATCAAAAAACATTTGTCTCCTAAATAGGACAAGTAAATGAACCTTTTTTATTGCATAGATGAGTGATTCTTCGATTAAGTTCGTCTACAGTCACCAATGAAACAGATGTTAGCACATTCAAAAAGTTGAGACAAATGCCTATCTATTAAAAAAAATGTTTATTTACACGCCAATAAATGGTTAACATTTATTTTTATAGTACAGGAAGCGGAGCACAACAAGCTGGCTCGTGTCACGACGTTCGAGATTTACGATTATAGTTTGGTAAACAAAATTATGACCCGAAAAAATATTTTTCCAAATGCAATGAATTTTCATAGTTTCAACATATATCTCTTAAGAAATCTCGATATTAAAAACTGTCTATTTCTTGCAAAAGAAAATGATCTAATAGGATTATCTGAAAACGAATTCTTTTTTCAATGAAAAACCGATTTTGATAATATTCTGAAAACGCAAGCCGCTAGTTATACTGTAGATATCTGTAATAATACTGGCCAACTCGAGCGACTACTGTCTCCATCATCTGATCTTTATATGAGTTGATTCGTTGAATATACGTTGATTTCGAAATGATTCTACCACCCCCATCCCATCTGGATTTAAAGATCCAAAAGTGTCCGATGACATCCGGTCATAGAAGTAATAATTAACGTATAATACATTATGCCTTAATGTGTCTACCCAAAAGCAAAAATAAAAAAAAACTTAATACTATTTATTTTATCTTTTTTATTTATTGCTTAGGTGGTTGGACGAGCTCACAGCCCACCTGGTGTTAAGTGGTTACTGGAGCCCATAGACATCTACAACGTAAATGCGCCACCCACCTTGAGATATAAGGTCTCAAGTATAGTTACAACGGCTACCCCACCCTTCAAACCGAAACGCATTACTTCTTCTCGGCAGAAGTAGGCAGGGTGGTGGTACCTACCCGCGCGGACTCACAAGAGGTCTTACCACCAGTATCTCTAATGGGATTATAAATCATGTATTTTGAAGTCAACTTAATGTCGTTAGTGATCTTAATGAAATAACATTCGAACATCACAAAAATAACAGCTCAGATATTCGTATTATATGTAGTTACGGCTTCCA